CACTGTTACATTCAATCTAGTGAATGACAAGAAGTTTTGCTTGTCCAACAAGCTTTTTGCTAAGATTCTAGAAATCTCTAATTCTCCACCATTCTATAAGGTTATTAATGAACAGATGATTCACATGTTCAATGAGATGGGTTATCAACCCATTCTTACCAAGATTAGCGAGTTCAAGAAATCAAGCCTTCCATGTATCTGGAAATTTCTCTTTGCCATTTATCTTCGATGCCTGACTGGTCGAAGTGTTGGTTTAGATAAAGGAAGACTGGAGGTGTATGCTATGGTTGCTGGCATATATTATGATCTATCGATAGATTATGCAACTTAGATATGGAAGGAGTTCTTGAAGAGCGTTAAGAATACCAACGCTATGGATGGGGTTTCTTGTGCTAGATATTGGAGTCTAATTATTCAATATGCATATGTGAAGGAATGTATTTAGGTGGATGCTGATGAACTAAAGGTTGAGTTTGTAAAGTATCACTACCCAAAGGCTATAGAAGATGATGTGAATGTTTTTCCATTAGTTTCTCGAATTCCGGATGCAATGCTTAAAAAGTTTGATCCGTTGAATATTGTGTTAAAGGCATATTTATAGACAATTTGTCCTATTGTCGAGACTAGACTTTTACTATCATGTTCTGCTGAAGGTCCTTTAAATAAATCATGAAAGCCCAGGAAGTTTGTTGAAACAAGTCCTACGAAACCTATTCAATAGGAAAAAATGACTAAGTCACCAAAGCAAAAGGCTGGAGAAGGAATCAAAGTTTTGAAGAAATCGGAAAAGCCTATTGTAACTAAAACAATTGAGCTTTCAAAGGAGATAGTTCCTTCGAAATCTGGTGTGTTCAAGCACCTTAAAAAGATAGCTCATCAGTCAACAAATTCTCCTGAAAGGTCATCCAACTTTTCACCTTCAATGGTTCAAAAGCCTCATGTAACTCGGAAAGGTCATATCATTCGTGATGTACCCGTACCTGTTTCTCCATTTTATAAGAAATGAAGGGCTGAGGATGTTGCTAAACATATTTCAAAGAAACAAAAGAAGAGAAAGTTGATTATTCAGAAAGACTCCATGGAAGACGAAGAAGGTCTTGAAACACCAATGTGTAATGTTTCATCTAATAATAAATCTCCTGTCAAATTGAATTTCGAGGAGATAGGAATTTCAAGTAATCCTGTGAAAACTTCAATCGTGAACACATCTACTATTCTTGGTGACTCAACAAAAATATAGACTCCTAAGAAGACTTCGGTGATACCACCCGAGGTTTCGTCAACCAAGTCATCTAATGAGGAGGTTCGAACCTCAGGCATCCCTGCACACGTATCTGATACATATGTAAATGTCAACATGAGTGAAGGAGTCTCGAACAAAAAAAACCCATTTTCTACTACTCAAGGTGTTTTCGATACCACTACCATAACTACCACTACTTCTTTACCACCATTTTTCACAATTGTTTCTACAACCACTCATTCACCAACTTTTGATCAAGTCATGAATCAACCAATTACTTCTCTCTTTCTGTCTCAATCAACTGAACCAGCCGAAACGATAATTGATGATGAAACTGATGATGGAGGGTTTAGAGGATTATTTGCTAACCTAGAATTTGATACTGACGAAGAAGAAATCCCAGATTATACGCTCATGTCGGGGAAACAATTCAAGATTCTCAACAGAAAGCTCAATTCCTTATTGCAGTCACAAGCAGATACAGGAGGTAAACACTCTATATTTGGCATTGCAGTCGATGTCATGCTAAAAGCTCAAGAGTTTCGACTTCAACACAAGCTGGATGTAATGAATAAAAACAATGAGCTCCGAGTCAAAGCTCAATCTGATACTTTCAATAATGAAATCAAGGAGTTGAGAATGTTTGTGAAGGAACGACATGTTCTCTTCGTTAAGGATGCAAAGACTGTAAGAGAAGACGTGAATCGAAAGCTTGAGGAATAGAGGGTCGACATGGAAAAAGAGATCAATGAGTTGAGTACCAATTACTATTCTCTACTTTCGAAAGTAGATATTATTGCAGGTGCTGTAGCAAAAGTGGTGGAGTCTTATCAATCTCTTGTTCCTAAGATTGAAGACAAAGCAACTAGTGATATTACAAGTTTTGGGAAGCTTGATGTCATGCTTTGTGAATTGAAAGAGCAGGTTTTGAAGTCTGGGTCTACATCTCTCTTAACTCATGAGTTCTTAACTCCTGAGTTCTTAACTCAGAAGTTTCGTTTATTTGAAACTACCATTCAGAAGGAGTTAGCCCCATTATCTCAGCTTTTAATCTCTTACCAACAAATGCCCCACCTGTTGTCACAGGATTGCAAGGGGGAGAAAGGAGGAGTGTTGGTAAAGGAGAAGGTGCTTCTGGGAAAACTAATGAAAACCCAAAGGTTATTGGTAAAGTCTTTCAAGTCATATTCCAACACCAAAACCAATAATTTCGATGGTTGATCCGGTGATGGCAACTACAACAACTACAAGGCTGATTGCTAAAGGCATTGTAATTGGGTCAACAGGTGAAGGTAGTTCTTCAAAAACCAAGCAACCTGAAATAAATCAAGGGAGAGGAAAAGGGATTGTTGTAGAAAAATCAAAAGAAGAAAGAAAAGCTGAAATCGATGGAGAAATAGAAAAGCAGCGCCAAATTCAAAGTATCTTGAGACTTCGTCAAAATGATCCTCCTACTTTCAACAAAGATGATCCAAAGAAGCTACACATTTATGAGAATATAGAAGCAAGTAGCTTACAATGAAATGTATGAGTTCGAAAAGAAACCAAGGAAGAGTTATGCCATCGAGAATTCTAACATGAATCAGCTTGATTTTCCAGTCAATGAGATGATGTTTGTTACAACTCAGTATAAAATTGTTGATCAATTTAAGAATAAAGATGATTTTATTCATATGAAGTTGAGATTTCATGCTGTGTTGGGAAAGGAACATGAAGAGGTTTGGTCACTCATTAAGATTGTTCGGGTGTTGAGTATAACCAAGGATGTGATATTCGAGAATATGCTGTAGAATTTTCGATACCATGTTGTGAGGGCAAATAATGTTTCTTTTGACTTCAAAATTTCTGATTTTCCCTTGATGAATTTAAATGACCTTATTCAAGTTGCGAACATTCTCAAAGACATGGATGCTTCGAAACTTCAAGGAACCAGTAAAGATGTGTTACATTTGGGGTTAGGTCATATCAAGCTTTTCAAAGACAATTACTATAATTGTCTAGCATTGACATATGTTGAATTAGCTTTGTCAATGGGAAAAGAAATTAATGTTCCTTAGTTAGTGTTGCAGAGTCAAGCTGATTTAAAGGTGTATGTAGATGGGGAGATATGTTTGAAGCCATTAGGGATTGTTTTCATTGGAAAAAGCAAAAAGGGCAAGTAAACAATGTTTTTATTCCAATCATGTGATGTTGAAAGATACACAATTGCTCAACATATAAACTTAATTGTACGTATGAATAGTTGTAAGAATAATAATAATGGGGATAAAGTGGAACTGAAGAAAGTAATGGATTGGTATGCGGAGATAAGAAGAAAATTGCATTTGGTTGCTCAATTTTTGATAACCTAATTTCGACACTGCTTACAAAGAGGGAGATTGTAAGAGTCGAAGTATGTTGTAAGGTGTCGAAGGTTATATTGTATCCGATGGTTATGTAATGTTGTTACAAAGACATAGTTATTTCGAAGCTGGAATGTTATAGCCATTTGTATTTTTTGTGCGCTTTTTATTTTTCCTATAAATAGGAAATGATACATTAGATAAATAAAACTTATGTAACTCTTCTGTCTAAACACTCTTTGTATTTTGAAAGCATAATAGAGCTGAAACCATATTACATTACTCTGTGTTCTTAATTCATTTCAATTCTGATATCGTTTTATTACTCGACTAGTTTATAACCCGTGGGAACCATAATTTTAAAATTAATTAAATTTTTATAGTAAAAACTCAAAATTATTAATCAGTTATTGTAAATAAATTATTAATTTAAGAGAGTTTTTTTCTTACTTATGTGAAATTATAATCGTTGATTCAAATAAATATGTCAAATTAATTTTTTAATATATACTAAATATTTTTTATTTGTGAATTAATAAAAACAATAATAAAAAATTTTAAAATTTAAAATAAAGAATAAATATATTGACAAATAGCATCATATTAATGAGGAGGTCTAATAAACTTAAAATGAAGAACTAATAAATTAACAAGTGACAAGACATTAATTAAGATGTCTAATATAGTGACACACTAGGTATTAAAAATAAAAATTCAATATCAATATTTAAACTTTAAATTTAAAATCAATATTTAATATCAATATCAATTTTAATATCAATTTTAGAGCTCTCATTAATTATGATATTTATTACATTATAAATATATCAATTCTTTTTCAAGGAAGCATTTATTTCTCTCAATATTGTAACCGAAATAAGTTGTGATATGTGAACAAATCAGAAAATTACATGTGAAAATAAGTAAATTTTAAAAATCTATTAAAATGTTATGTGTCCAAATCAATGAGGACATGACATGTGGCAGGAAATGAGTTTTATTTATTAGTATGAATTACAAAAAAACTACTCTTTTATTAGTATAGAGATTAAATAGCTTTTACAATTGGTATAGAATGAGTGTTTTTGATTTGATCAAGAACACTAGGAAATCTAATCTTATATTTTTAGATGAGAACCAACTTTTTTTTTTTTTTTTTTTTTTTTTTTTTGCTCATGTATCGATCGGAAAATTCGTATCCTAACAAGATATATTGGTATTGTAATAGGGTAAGGTGAGTTTTCTTTGGTTCTCCAAATTTGATTTCTTGCTATTTTTATTTTTCTTAATGAAATTGATTACATTCTATAAAATGTTTGAAAATACGCATAAAGTTTTGTTTATACGAAGGAAAATGAAAGGAAATTTCCTTTGATTTTGATGGGACTATTTACCATCAATATCTTTGTAGACCTTTTTTTTTTCCTGAGTTTGGACCCAGTCAATCCAATAGGTATTGCTTTCTTTATATAACCCATCTCTTTATATCCCCTCCCATCTCCTCCCTCCTCCGCCACAACAAACCATGTCCATCCTCGCCGGAAAACTCATCTCCTCGTTCTCCTTTATTTTCATATACTTGATCACCACCCTCACCTTATCTCAACCCGATTTCCTTTACTCAATCTGCGACACCGCTGCTAACTTTACAGCAACCAGTACATACGGAAGAAATCTAAACGCCACCCTCACCGCCCTCCCCACCACAAACTCCGGCTTCGGTTTCTTCAACAGCTCCAGCGGCAACGGAAACGACAGAGCCAACTCCTTCGCCCTTTGTCGAGGCGACGTCAATCCAGATGCTTGTCGCAGTTGTGTAAATGACTCCATCGTTAAGTTGCGAGAAACCTGCCCTAATCAAAAAGAAGCAGTAGGATACTACGACAACTGTTTGTTGAAATACTCCAACCTCACAATATTGGGAGGCGTAAACACTAGGATAAGGAGTTATGTGACGTTGTACAACATTAATAACGTGTCCGATATTCAACGGTTTAATAGTGCTCTTAGACAGTTAATGAATGACTTGAGAAGCACGGCGGCTTCCGGCGGCCGGTTAAGGAAATTTGCCGGCAACAACATGACGGGGCCGGATTTCACAACGATCTATGGGCTTGTGCAGTGTACACCAGACTTGTCGGAGCTTCAATGTAGTGACTGTTTGGAGGAAGCAATTAATCTAATCGGGATGCCGCCTATATATGGGAAAGTAGGAGGGAGAATTTTACAAACTAAGTGTAATTTCAGGTATGAGATATATCGGTTTTTTAATATGAGTAATATAGTGGTTCCATCACCGCCGTCTTCGCCACCACAACCACCGATTTTGCCGCAATCTCCGGCCATTCCACCGCCACCAGGTATGAATAGAATTTTCTTTATAAATGAATAGTAGCATTTTCTATGTAAACTTCAAAACAAAATTTCGTTGACCTTGACCTAACAAAAGCAACAAGTGCCAAAATATTCACTAATGTCCTTATCTAAATAATATAATATAATATCATATTGTAGACTTTACAATATGAAAATGGGGACAGCGTAAGCTTTAAAATAGGCTTTACATATTTGTGTTGCATATTAAAGAGTTATATTAACATTCTAATATGTAATATATAATGATATATTAAAAAAAAAGATTGAGAATGAATTGAAAAATAAATAGTAATTAGTAGGATCGAAAAATTTATTAGGAAATTTATAAAATCTAAATATGGAGTTAGGGAAAAAGTTGTAAAAAAATTATAGAAATTTATAATAAGTTTAAAAATTTGTAAACAATATTGTACTAATTGTTAAAAAAAAAATAACTTTTACAACGTAAATATATATGCGTTTGATAGACTAGTTGGAAAACAAACTTTTAACTGAAAATTCAAATTTTGTTCTGATTAATAGCCGGTTACTAATTTAATAGCTGATAAATAATATATTTTCCTTAAAACTAACTGATAAATTAGATATAAAATGCAAAACAACATAAAAACACTGTTTAAGTATATAATTAAATGCTAAAGTTATAGTGTATTCAAGATTATTAAGTATCTCCTAAATTTCTTCATGATAAATGATTTAGTTTCGAATAATAATAATAATAATAATAATAATAATAATAATAATAATAATAATAATAATAATAATAAGTTGCAAGGAGCTAGTGGAAAATAGAACCTGTTACATCAAAAGTATACATAATAGGGTTTTGAAGGCATAAATTGTAGCATGTATGAAATTTATGCTTCCTATACACGATCATTTTTAGGTCTAAGAAGATAAAAGTTCCACTTCTTCGTAAAGTTTCAAAGAGACCACTATGTTGTTAAAATAATCGCATCCAAAACGGTCTTTCGAGCCTTTGAACAAATGCGGAGTATAAAGATCACACAATTGCACAATCTTACCCATCACAAAATTTGCAACTTCACACCCATGAACAAATGCTTTACATCCTCGATAGAAGATATGACATATATCAATACCACATGCAATAATATTATTTTTTGTAGGAAGGCATCTCACAAGACCCTCCGACGGAAAATTTTCAATTTAATGGGAATTAAGTTTGGTTTTGAAGTTAAAAATGATTTTTGTCAAAAAAAAAAGACTTATTAACTTATATGATTGTGGGAAAAAAAAGTTTTTAAAAAATGTTTGAATGAGTTTTTTAGTAACAAAAGCCAATAAATCAATAAATTAAAAAAAAAAATTGACTTAAAATTGTCTTTTATTATATATCATTTCAAAACAATCACAGATTGTTATATTTTTAAAACTTATTTTCAAAAGATAAACTAAAAAATTGTTTTAAAAGTTCTTATTAGATATCTAGCAAGTTTTTTTGAACTTATTGACTTTTCAAAAAATCAATAAATTAACAAATTATTTTTAAGATGAACATCCAAAGACGTTTTAAAATATTTAACTCTTTTTTTGTAAGTCACCATGAAGTAAAATAGCCTCGTCATGAACAAATGTGTATGTTTTAACCAAAATTTTTGCCCTATTTGCTAAATCCCAAAACAACTAATAAGACATTTCACGAAGCACAATAGAGCTCATGAGCTCTAATAAAACTAATAAGATTTGTCCCGTTTCTAAAACATAAAACTTTATAAAATTATAAAATACAACATTTTAGAACATAAATTTTTATATACCAAAAAAAAAAAAAAAAAAAACTGTTATGTACAAACGAGTTTTTTTAAAATATCAATTTGGAATTTTTGTTGTACATGAAAACATTATATTTAACATAATTTCTATAAACCTTAATTGTAATGGACCATAAAGATGTCATGATGGTTTTTCCTATTTGTTTTTTTTTTTTTTTTTCTTTTTAATAACATGATTACTAATATTGCATCAAACTATAACTGTATTATTATAAGAAAATTCATGTACTCATTGGTCACACAATATAACATGATTTTATCTATTTATTTATTAGTGCTATTTGTTAGTGGCTGAACCAGATATTTTGGATATGAGATACAAACATTATATATATATATATATATATATATATATATATATATATATATATATATATATATATATATATATATATATAGAGGTATCCAATATAGAACATTAAAAAACATGTTATAATCTATTTTAGTTGGGATACAATAAGATGAAACATGTTTACAAATAATATTTTTCTATATATATAAAATAATTTTTTGGGATACTGTAGTACCCAACGCTCCATCTAATTCCACCATTGTTATTTATTGGTTATCTATTTTTTTATATAAATATGAAATCATTGTACCTTTAAGAAAAAGGGGACATGTTAACTTGTGGACCAATTTAACATGTAAGTTATGTTGACAAGTTGTCCAGATGAAATGTATATTGTAAACGATTACATGACATCTACTTGTCCTGTTCATTCGTGAATTTTCTTCGCTTGATTTCAAATGCACCTAATTTGAAACTTATATATGTATTATTTTCTATATCAAAACCATGTTATGTTTTCAGGCTTAATGTATTTTTTTTTTTTTTTTAAATTTGCATTTAAAATAAATGCAACCTTAACAAAGTTTATGCAATCGGTGCAACCTTTGATATATTTTTGGGCCCCTTCTAATTAAATATTGTTTTATTTATTTTTTATATTTTTAATAATGTAAAATGACTAAAAATATTTTAAAATATTATTAAAATATAACGATTATTATCATTTTATATTGTATTAAGATAAGTAAGAACAAAAAAAATATAGAAGATATTTAATTTATGTTTTATATATACAGAAGTCTTTTCCCGCTTCATATAAATGATCATAGGCTTCCTAGTAAACATCAAAAACATCAATTCATAATAAATATTGGATGTGATAAGTTGTTGGAAAATTAATGTTGAGTCCATTGGAAAAAACCTGAGTCGTCGGGAATCTTTGATCATTTATCATTTATGTACAAAAATTGAAAATAATAATATTTAAATCTCGTTAAAAATACATGTAACCAAAATATCAACATGCCCGTGACACATAACACATTTAACGTTGTCAAATAGATAATGACTTGAGTGAGATTTTTGTTGTAAATCATCAAGTATGGAACAATATTGTTTGATAACTAATTACCCTTTAATAACATAATAATATGCATCTTGCTAAATCCCCAATAAGATTACTGAAATTAGGTTAAGATTGAAAATATAAGTATTTTCTTAACAAAAAAAATTATATTTGTTAACAATGATGAACTTCGCCAAAAACATTTCTCCCCAAACTACTGTTTCTTTCATGTATATTTTAAATTAGCATTATATTTCTTTCCCATTTAACTTTATATATATATATATATATATATTCAAATGAGAACACAATTTAATATGAGAACGTAAGAATATTACTTTATGTTACTATTCTACTATAAATTTAATATGTATAGTATTATAGTATACCGTGAGAACATTACTTTATATATATATATAACCAAACAACAAATATCATGGTGTCACACATGTAATGGATGAGGGAGGACCACGTCGCAATAATGATAGCTATTCTATTATAGAAGAAAAGTGCTCAGGTCAACTGTACGAGATTGACGTTTAGACTTTTTTTTATAAATTACTTAAGACATGTTATGGACTAATTCATTTTTTTTTTCTATTGAAAATAATTACGATCGAAATTGCTTAAATAGTTTTTTAATTTCTACTTATAGAAGGATTAATTTTAGTTTCTCTACAAATAAATTTACGTTTTAATTGTTATGAATTAATCACTTTATTACTTTAGGTATAACTGTAGTACACATGAAGAGAAAGTTAGTCGGACAATCACACCTCAAATATGTGGTTAGTTAAGAATGCAACAATCCAAAAAAGAAAAAAAAAATCGATATATATCGTCATTAGATAATTAGAGCACCTCTAATATAAGAGTGATTTTGTATAGATTCATATTTATGTATTTACTTACTTAATTGGTTTTTACTATTATTGAAGAACAAATTAATTATCAGAAAGCTTGAAACAATAAATTTATGTTCTACATTATGATAACCAAGTACACCTCACAAAGCATCTAGTTTTTCATATCAAAGAAGTTATGTTGCAAAACATAATTTCCCATATATTCACATAAGACATCTATTCTCTAATCTCTAATAAAACCAATGAATGTTCCACCACCAACCAATGTTTTAGTCAGGATTTTTTTTAATGCTAAACCAAATAACTTACAAAATATAAACAAATAGTCAAATACTTTAAATTGTAGCAAAATATATCAATGTATGATTTTATAGTACATTGTTCGTTTAAGTTGCAAATAACTGATTAATTAAAATAAACCAAATAACTTACAAAATATGAACAAATAGTCAAATACTTCAAATTGTAGCAAAATGTATCAATGTATGATTTTATAGTACATTGTTCGTTTAAGTTGCAAATAATTGATTAATTAAGATAATAAAAAAATATTAATCTACGAACCCGATAAACGAGCAATTCATTGTAGAGATTGAAATGCAATTTGATCTATTCAAAAAGTTGTTGCCACAGTTCATTAATCGACATGACACAACACATAAATTATTTCGTTTATTATGAATTTAAGTTTTAAATAAGATGAAACATGCCACAATTCACCACCTTAAACGTTTTTTATTTAAAAGAAATATATATTTATCTATATAATATATATCTTACCTCAAATTTGTTTGTATAGAGTGGGCTAAGGCACACCTTTGCATCCATATCGTCGCCAACTAGAAAGAGACAACATAATAGAAACCACTTTACAATGAAGGAGTAAATTGTGAGTCAACAATTCCAGGTTATTATGACACATAATCTACTCCATATCAACACCACCATTTTCTCTAAAATAACAATAGCATGAAAGAGATTTTTTGTATTTCACTCTTAAATCAAAAGAGAGTATACAATTGAATAAACAGAACATAGGAACGTAGCTAAAACAAGGCAAAGGTAAAACTAAAATGCTAAACAAAGAAAGGAAATAAAGCAAAATAGTGAGAAGATTTTATTTCCAATACCCCCTCAAGTTGGAGCATGTAAGTCTCGATGAGTTCCCAAACCTTTCGTGAGGAGGTATGCAATTTGCTTTATAATATTTATGTGATGTGGCTGAATTTCTAACGTTCCCGAACGAATTAACAATCCATTTCCACATGTTTAGTTCGTTCGTGGAAAATTGGATTGTTAGCTATGTGATGAGCAGCTTGGTTGTCACAAAATAATGGGGACGGTCTGGAAGAAGTTACCTCAAGCTTCTTCAACTACCAACGGAGCCAAAGAACTTCGCTAACAGTGAAACCCATGGACTAATATTCCACTTCGCGGACGAACGAGAAACTACAGATTGCTTTTTAGTTTTCCACGATACAAGAGCACCTCCTAGAAGTAGTAAGAAACCGTTTCTGGATTTTCTCGTATACGGGAATCCCAACAGTCGGAATCACAATACGCCATGAGGTTACAACCTCCATTTCGAGGAAAAAGAATGCCTTGACCAACGGTGGCTTTGAGATATCACAAAACTCTATACGTAGCATCCAAATGAGGCTGTCGTGGGTCGACAACAAATTGGTTTTACACATTTACAGAGTAAGCTATATCGAGCCGAGTCGCTTTTAAGTAAAGGTGCCTACCGACGATGTGATGATATCGATTAGCATCAACTTTTGGTTCGCTTTCACGTTTGTCCAACTTGTGATTTTGTTCGATTGCAAATAAGCTTGGTTTACATCCTTGAAGACCACAATCTTTAAGGATGTCCAGGGCGTATTTTCTTTGACTAAGAACCAATCCCTATAAGGTGCGAGACACTTCGATCCCAAGAAAATACTCGAGGTTACCAAGGTCTTTTTTGCTAAAAAGTTTGTCAAGCTCGTCTTTGATGTTTTGAATTATGGTAGGGTTGCTGCCAACCAATATGACGTCATCCACATATATTAGGGTTGCCATAAAATCACTTTTCTTTCATTAAGTGAAAAGGGAATGGTTGGCTTTAGATCGAATGAAGTCAAGATTAATTAAGGCACTTGTGAATTTTTAATACCAATTTCTTGATGCTTTCTTCAAGGCGTAAAGAGATTTTCGCAACCGATAAACTCTTGTTTCTCTTTCCTTGGCAAAGCCTTGTGGTATCTTCATGTACATTTCTTCATTCAAATCTCCGTGTAGAAATGCAATGTTGACATCGAGTTGGTGAATTGCCCATTCTCATTTAACAACGACAGCCAATAAAGTTCCAACGGTAACTAACTTGGCTACCTGTGCAAATGAATCATGGTAGTCGACCCCTCCATTTGAGTAAAACCCTTTGCCACAAAACGAGCTTTATACCTTTCAACTTCTCCATTTGGCTTGCATTTCACCTTATACACCCACTTAGAATCGATGACATCATTATCTTTAGGTAATTCTTCACGAGTCCGTGTGCCATTTTCTTTAGGATCCTGAATTTCTTTCTTTATGGCGTCTTTCCATCTATCATTTTTAATAGCCTGATGAAAATATTTGGGCTCATCTTTCGAACCGATGGTCGCTAAAAAGGCTTTTTGACTTAGCGGTGTTTATGCATGGTCGACTGATGGGGATAGTTGAACCACAAAATCCTTTAGATGTCTTGGTTGTGTTCCGGTCCTTTTGGTTTGAGCCGGTTCAGTATGCTCTTCGTGAATAGTCTCACATTCATCATGTGAAAAGTGTTGAGTACTAGGTAGTTTGATTCTAATGTTCGTTGGGAAGGTAGATCAAAAGAACAATCATGTGGACTTTCATCACGGGCCCCTGAATTAATGTCATGGTTCTCATTTTGACTGACAAATTGTACCCCTTAGTTCCTTGTGATTCCTAGTAACACTAGTCGTGAAATCCCCTATAGTCCCCAATTCCAATCACAACAAATTTGATTGATCTAAAAGCACAACATTCATGTTGAAGGAGATTAGAAAGTTGTGAAGCTTTGTTCCCTACCTATAATTCAATGTCAATTCCAAGCTCATTCATCGTTAAGTGAATAGATCCCTAATCAATTAAGTTGTGTCAATGTCCAACAAGAAACGTGTTGAGAATTGAATCCGTAAATAAACATCATTAGTCCAAGCATCTTTCCAGAAGTTAGCCATGAAACCATTGGCAACTTTTTTGTTCAAATACAAATGGAAATCGAGACATTTATCATGAGGTAATGTGTTCCTTGTTGGCTTGTAAAAGCACATATGAACCGATCTCATCACAAAACTCCATAAAATCAATACATTCGTCCACCATATGGAAAATACCTTGATCGGGAGTGGCTTTTTATAAGTATCAAATTACTAGTTTAGCGACCATACTAGGAGTCTTATGAAAACCAACTCCCTCTATTCATGTGAACTCCATCACGAACATAAATGCATATTATTATTCCACCACATTGCCTCTACGATAGTCTTTCTAACTTCACACATATAGTTTCGACAAGGGCATCATGCTTATAGCTAGTCAAATTTTATTTCATCATGGTGAAAAGAGTTTCCATATTTGTTCTTCTTTCTTCCAGGTTTTTGCCAGTTTTGTATTGCTAGGTATTCGTTTTATAAATCATTATGATTGTTCTAAAAAAAGAGCTTCCTTAAAATTCAATCGTAAACTTGTTACATATATCTTATTGTTGAAATGAATTTGATTACTTTTAATAAAGTTTTCAACTAATTATTTTTTATTTATATGTTTCGAACTTTAATTTTGGTATCACTTTCTATTTTGCAGGGAAAAGGAATAACACGACACGCACTGTCCTAATAATTGTTCTTATAACAGTCGGCACTGTCATAATAATTGCCTCAATATGTATCTTCATAGTATTGAAGAGAAAGAAAAAGAAAATCTTGCCGCCGCCACTTCCGCCTCTTGAAAATAGTGAGAGTATGTTTCATTTTCACATCCTAAAACTTATTGTGGCAAAAATAACAAACCCCTTGTTTAAAATATTGAAGTATTAATTAAGACATTAACTTGCTGAAACTAATCCTATCTCCAATTTTGTTCCTCTAAATACTAGCTGGAATGATGGATATTGGAACTGCTGATGCTTTGCAATACAACTTTAACCTGGTGAGAGCAGCAACCAATGACTTCTCTGAAGAGAATAAGCTTGGAAAAGGTGGATTTGGTGTAGTTTACAAGGTATATATACCCAATAAGATCTTGTATTATGATTCAAAATATGAGAGTCTTGCTATTACTTACATGTTGATATATGATATCTTTTCATATTTAGGGTAAGCTTGGAGATGGACAGGAAGTTGCCGTAAAGAGGCTAGGAAGGGATTCTGGGCAAGGTGATGTGGAATTCAAGAATGAGGTTTTGCTAGTTGCAAAACTTCAACATCGTAATTTGGTTAGACTACTTGGTTTCAGCATAGAAGGGAGTGAACGACTTCTCATTTACGAGTACTTGCCAAATGCAAGTCTCGATCAGTTTATATTTGGTAATTAAATTTATATACATACATACATACATACGCGCGCGCACACACACACACAAACACATATATATATAAGACAACCTAATTTATTAAGACCATGAGACGTAATTCTAGCCATTAATTTTGTAGATAAAAACACATTTTTAAAATGCAAAATAATTGAAAATTGTTGATTTTTTTTAATTATTATTTTCGTCATTTATGTTTTCCAAAAAAAAAATTAAAATTACTACTTTTTTACATATTCTAGTAGAATATTACAATATTTTACATATTTGACAAATTTAGTAAATATTCTAACATTCTAAAAATCACATTATAATATTTACAGTTTAATATTCTATTAGAATATTTCACATATTTTTAAAAGAAAACGGTACTATTATTTATTTTTAATTTATTTTTATTTTTTAGGTAAAATAAAATGATGAAAATAATAATTAAAAAAGGAAATTTCAGATTTTCCTTTATTTTGCATTTTAAAATTGTTTTTAGATTGCGTCTTACGGTCTCACAAAATTAGTATGATCTCAAATGAACCTGAACCAATATATATATCTATATATATATATATATATATATATATATATATATATATATATATTATATATATATATATACACACACACAACACACACACACACATATATATATATATATATGTGTGTGTGTGTGTGTGTGTGTGTATATATATATATATATATATATAATATATATATATATATATATATATATATATATATATAAAGTGAATATACCTAACAACCTTACATAAGCTTAGGTAACTAACCTTATCATACATCATTTTGCATTAAATTTTCATTGCAATCGTCCAAGGTTCATAAACATCATCCCTAAACTTGATTTACTTCAAAAAAAATTGGACATTCACCATTATATTCGTGGTACATCATTTCATTTGTGGCGGTAGTATATTAGGCCCATAAGGAGGTATTCGACATAAAGATGTTATCTAAAAGGAAGATAACGGTGAAAGTCCAACGATTTTGGTAGTAATCAAGTTTGAGGTTGAAGTTTAAGAATTTTGAGCAATTACAATTTAAATATGAAGTTAGGTACCTAAGGTTATATAAGGTTGTTAGGTATATTCACTTTAATATATATATATATATATATATATATATATATATTATATATATATATATATATATATATATATATATATATATATATATATGGGGAGCTAACGACTACTCATTTACGAGTACTTGCCAAATGCAAGTCTCGATTAGTTTATATTTGGTAATTATGTTTATATAATATATATATATATATATATATATATATATATATATATATATATATATATATATATATATATATACATATATATATATATATATATATAGAGAGAGAGAGAGAGAGAGAAACGAGAGAGACCATGTTATTTTTCTGAGAAACGGGACGCGATCGTAACCAATCATCTTGGAGAATAAAAATAAAAAATATATATATAATGCATATTAAAAGAAAAATCCGAAAACTCTTTTTGTTAATTATTATTTTCGTTATTTTGTTTACCCAAATAAAAAATAAAGAATATTTAAATAATATACAAAAAAAGGTTATCGTTTTTTTTAAATATACGTGAAATTTTATTATAGAATCTTATACCGTAAATATTCAAATGTAACTTATATAATGTTTGAATATTATATTATTTCACTAGAGTTGTAAAATATGTTAAAATCCTACCTAATAAATAAATGTTTTTTTGTCACATATCATCAACTAATTCAATATGCTACATCACATTTTTTTTTAATTTTTTTTTAATTTCATTTAAATCCACTTCACAAATTGTGTTTTTTTAGCTTTGTTATTAAATTAAAAAAAAATCTAATCTAAAAATATAATAAAGCAAATAAAGAAACTTAAATGTGTTCATAAATTCTCACGTAATTTATCAATTAATGTTTAAATTTAATTTAAATTCAAATCAGCCTTCTTATTTGAAAACATAATTTTCAACCATTCCTTTTTGAATTCACAATCATTTGCAGAAACCTTGCGAAAATTGGTTTATTCACAGCTTATACTAATATTATTTACAAATTCAGTTTTATAAATTATTAAAAATATAATGCTTAACAAAATATATTATTTTTTAAAAAAAAAATCATGTATTACACGGATCTCACATCTAGTATTCTAATAAATAAAAGTTTTTTGGCCACATGTCACATTCTTATTCAATTTGCCAAATGTAATTTTGTGGCTATTTTGAATTAATTTTTTCACATGTCATTTTATGAAAAAAAAAATTATTTTATTAAATTTCATATAATATTTTAACACAATAATTTCAATAAATGTAGTAATAAATGGATAAAAATATAATTAATCAACTTAGCTTTTAATTTCAAAATTTTCAAATTAAAGCTTATTAGTTTATTTTGTTTATTTATGTAAATTATTTGTTTAAATTTAAACGATAAAAAATATTTCAGTTATAATAATTTATTATTTTTCTTATTTTCTTATAAATTCAAAGTTGTCAAATATTTTAACATTTATACTTAACTTATTATTTAAAAATTAATCTATGTAATAAATGGGTATCACAACTAGTGCTCTAATATTCTACAAAAATTGTTAGAATTTCTAGAACAATATAATATTCTATTAAAATTGATTGAATATTTGTAGTCTAATATTCTAGTAAATATATGAATATTCGAAAAATTTTATTATAAATTTTTATACTAGAATATTCTATTAGAATATTTCATAGATATATTCAAAAAATTGGTAAATTTATTTATTTATTCATTATATATTTTTATTTATTTTTTCGGAAAATATAATTGACTAAAATAATATTTAATTTTTTTTTGAAAATTTTCAATTATTTTGCATTTTAAAAATATTTTTTTTGTTCTTCAAAATGAGTGCCTATGATTACGTACCCGTGTCTTATAAAATAGAGTGGTCTTAAATGAACCTAACATTATATATATATATATATATATATGTATATATATATATATATATATATATATTATATATATATATATATATATATATAAGCTTATATAAGCTTATATATCGGTAAAGTGAATATACCTAACAACCTTATATAAGCTTAGGTACCTAACCACATCATATTACATAATTTTGTATCATATTTGCATTGTAATCACCCAAAGTTCTTTAAATTCAACCTCATAACTTGATTGTTCCCCAAATCTTTAGACTTTCACCATTATCTTCCTTCAAATGACGTCTTTCTATCGGAGACCCCCCTGGTGGGCTTCATATACTACCGTTACAAATCAAATGGTGTAGGAGGAATATAATGATGAATGTTTGAAAATGTTGGAAGTAAATCAAGTTAACGGTTGAAGTTTAAGAACCTTAGACGATTGCAATGGAAATATAAAGCAAAACAATGTAGTATAATGTGATTAGGTAACTAAGCTTATATAAGGTTGTTAGGTATATTCACTTTACCCTATATATATATATATATATATATATATATATATATATATATATATATATATATATATATATAATATATATATATATATATATATATAACATGAAAGTTGATGTTAAAAATATATCTTAGGTAAAAAAGATTATTCCGTGTTATATTCATATATGAATAATATTTAAACTGCAAAAAAAAAAAAAAAAAAAAAAAATTAAGAATATGTTTTATTCATATGTTATTAAAGAATGTATTTTAATAAAAATGTGATGTATTTTTATTAACTTACGTATAATGAGAGCTGAAACTATAAGGAAAAATAATTTTATTTTATTTTATCATAAAACTATATCAATATAGATCTCTGTTTATAAAGTATAAAATATTTTGAATTTTGATATATTTAAAATAATTTTCTGATAAAAATGGCTCTTTAAAAATTAAAAAAAAAAAATAACAAAACTATCTATGTTTTTGTAAATATATTAATGTAAGGATTAACAAATTTTAAATAAACATATTTGGTTTGAAAGAACTTGTTTATCCCTTACAACATTCTCAATATTTGTGTTTTCTTAATTGAACCGTCTTCTATGTTTTGTGTGTGTTTATATATATATATATATATATATATATATAATATATATATATATATATATATATATATATATATAATGTTTATTAGCTCTCGTAATATATTATATTCATAAATGAATAAAATATTTTTCAAATTTTTTGCTATAGTTCAATTGTTATTTATATATGAATATGTAGTATATTAATAAAAGGCAAATTTTTTTGAAAACTCGAACTCCTTATTCATATATGAATAACAAATAAACAATAAAAAAATTCTGATAAATGTGTTATTCATATATGAATCTGATTTGTAAAAAGAGCAAGTGTGTGTTTTATTCATATGTGAATATAACGTGTGACAAAAGTAATGTAAACTCTAAAAAGTTTATTACATGTTGTATTTATATATGAATGATAGTTAAAGTATAAAAAAAAAAAATTAAACATACTTTTCATTTATAAGTGATTAACGAATGTACTGTAATAAAAATCTGATGCATTTTTATTCACTTATGAATAACGAGAGCTGAAACTATAAAAAATAAAACTTTTATATTATCTTAAAACCATATCAATATGAACATCTATTTATTGAAAATAAAGAATTATGAATTTTGATATTTTAAAATAGTTTTTCGATAAAAATAGCTCCTAAAAAATAAAATAAAATAACGAAGAAAACTATGTTTTTGTATATATTAAGGTAAGGATTAACATAGTTTAAGCCAACATTTTTGTCTGGAAAACACATATGTATTCATTTTCCCTTTCTGTTGGTATGGTAGAGGGTTTCGCGGCAAAAATAAATGATTAGTTGAGAGTGATTCCCGCATTCTCAATATTTTTTATTTTTCTCAATTGAAATTACCTCTTCCCTCTCTCTCTCTCTCTCTCTTTGTATATATATATATATATAATATTTATTTTCACTAATTTTACATGGATGAGAGATGATGTAATGTTAGCTAATTTCCGATAATACCCTTCTTTACACGATGAGGTATAGGAGGATTGATCCTTGTGCAAGAAGGAATCCTTAAAAGTTGCTTTAGGTTCAAGTCAATAAAGATTGCTTAGGGATGAAGTAATTATACTTCTATATGGTAATTAGAGATCGATTAAGACTCTAAGTACGTTGCTATATATCGAGCTTAGGATATCGAATATTAGAGCTTTTAGCAAGGAATGGTTATAACATAGTTTTGAGCAATTTTATGTGTACAATAAGAGTTTATTACTAAATCCATTGTGTTTTATTATTGTTTCTATCAATTTCTTTACAACAATTAGTATCATAGATTCTAAAAGCTTTGATAAAACACAATAATTAACGAAGACAAGTATTGTATTGGACGCAGAAAACCAAGGAAGTATAAGCAACATGAAGGATGAATAATCTCTATCGTTTAATGTACCGATGCTCACCATAACTAACTACAGTATTTGGGCTATTCGAATGAAAGTAATACTCAATGTACACCAAATCTAGGATTTCGTTGATCCAGGGCATAATGAACCAAAGAGAAATAACGTTGCCATAACTATTATTTTGCAAGGAATTCCTAAATACTTAATCCTGCAAGTAGGCACGATTAGTACAACAAAGGAAATATGGGAAGCTATCAAGACCCATCACCTTGGTGTATACAGGGCGAGGGAGGCATGTTTACAAACCCTCATTAGCGAGTTCGATAACTTGAAGATGAAGGAAACGAGCACCATTCGCAAATTTGAAAGTCAACGGTCATGTATCATGTCAAAAGCGTCATCTCTTAGTGAAACCCTCAACAAAAGTAAACTCGTCAATAAATTTCTTACATGTGTATAAAGAAGGTTCATTCACATCATTGCATCAATTGAACGAGTAATTGATCTCAAAAAATTAGGATTCATAGACATGTTTGGATGTTTAAAAGCATAGGAAGAATGCATCCGTGAGAGGGAACCTACTAGCGGATCTTACAATCGGAAATTGAAAACAGGTCGAAGAGTTAGAGGAGGCTGAGGCTATGGATGATGTGATGGGGATCATCACAATAACTTGTTCCATCAAGATTATAGATCCACATCATCAAGTATTTGACAAGTCAAAAAGGAAAGAATAAAGATCATTCTAAAGTTCAATGCTATAGGTGTGACAAGTTTGGTCACTTTGAATCATAGTGTATGGAACGTAAATCCAGACAAAAAAAAAAAGTTCATGTATCCAAATTTGATGGCCATGATTTATAACTATTCATGGTTCAGACCCACTACGAAACTGCTTTCTTAAACATAGAAGGTGTAATAACAAGTAGATATGAAACTCAAGAAAACAATAACTCCATATGGTACTTAGACAATGACACGTGTAAACTGATGACATGTAATCTCTCTTTCTTTATCAAAATTAATATTCAAATTAGGGAGAGAGTAAAATCTGGAGATGATTTCGTTGTCAAGATACATGGAAAATGATCCATTATGTTCGAGAGCGAAGGAGGAAATCAAAATTGACACACAAATATTTATTACATCCCGCTCCTTAAAACAAACGTAATCATTTTGGACAAGCAATTGAAAGTGGATGTGAAATATCTACGAAAGGTGATGATTTGTTTCTTCATATTAGCCGAAAAAACGTTTCTATTCAAAGTAAAGTGTTCGTTGAACAGGCTCTACAAAACAAAGATCACAGTGGGAAAACCAGTTCTCCTACATAGTCACCTTAGAGAAAACGTATGGTTGTGGCATGAAAAATTAGGCATACCAACTTTGAAACTATCTCAAAGATGTTAAGAAAAATATCTTATCACCAGGCTACCAACTATCACCAGAGCCAACGAATCTTATTGTCATGCCTTGTGGGAAAACACACACACACAAAGCAGTTTTTTTAAGAAATCTTTATATCACGATGGAAAGGTCTTAGAACTTGTTCATGGAGATCTTTATGGGCCAATTTCACCATCGATAATTGCTGGAAATAGGTATATACACGTGCTTATTAATGATTATTCAAGATTTATGTGGATTTATCTCATGAAGAAAAAAGCATAGCTATTATCTATTTCAAGAAAATCAAAGTTAAGGTAGAAAAAGGATCAAGAAATATTATATAAGTTTTCCAGACAGATAGAGGAGGTGAATTCAGTTAAACAAGAATTTAATAAGCTATTTGAATATAATGGGAAGATACACCGCCTTAAAGATCCGTACACAACACAATAAAACTGGGTGGTAGAGAGAAAAAATTAGACACTTCTTGAGATGAAACGAAGCATGTTGAAAGCCAAACATATCCTTAACTTCATTTGGTGTGAAGCCATTTGACTTGAAACCTACGTTATAAACCTAGTTCCAACATGGCCTATAAAGCATTCAACCCCATACAAACATTATTATCATTGCAACAGAGTCTACGGTAAAACCCTATATTTTTTTGGATCAACTGGACGAGTTTAGCTGACATAGGAAATAGACCAGTAGCATGTGGAGAGAATCACGAGATAGGTGACGATGTGAACAGTGGTGATATCGAGCGAAGTTTACAACCAGAACCGCAAGTAGCTCTAGAAAGTATTGAAACTGAGGTACAAGATGATGTTTTGCAACTACGAAGGTCAAATCACAACATACAACTTCAAAGAAGATATGATGAATTTGAGGTAAGACTTTACGATGAGAATGCGAGCTCCTTTTAGCTCTCAATAAAGATGAACGAACAACTTATTATGAAGCCAATTGAATCCATTATGGGTAAAAGCATTATGAGAAGAGATTGACTCTATTGAAAAAAAAAAGAACTTGGAAACTAGTAAAACGACCAAGTAAAAAAATTATCATTGGTTTAAAAGGGGTCTACAAAGTTAAAATAGATGCAAGTTGATCGATCAACAAAGTATAAGGATAGAATCGTGGCTAAAGGTTATCTTCAACAACCCGATATCTATTTCAAAGAAGTTTTTGGACTAGTAGCTCGTATCTAGCCTGTCTGGATACTCATAACTCTTGTTACTTTGAAAGGTTAGAAACTACACCATCTTGATGTAATATCAGCATTCTTGCAAAGAGAAATACAGGACGGAGTTTATGTCAATTAACTATTAGTTTCTTAAAGGAATGAATGTGAGAATCTCATATATAAACTCATAAAAGATTTGTATTGTGTAAGACAAGCTCTACACACATGGAATATGAAGCTAGATATAATCTTTAAAAACATGAAGTTAGACGTTGTGTGCAAGAACAAGCCGTATATCAAAGAAACATATAGTCTGATCTAATCATTGTTGGAGTTTATGTTGATGATCTTGCTGCTATAGGAACAAGAATTGCGATCATATCCAAGTTCAAGCAAGTTATGGCCATAAATTTTGATATAAGTTATCTCATATTGCTAAGATACTATCTACAAATAGAGTTATATGTATATATAAAAAAAAGGCAACATTCATATTACATGACAAGGGTCTACGAAAAGGTGCTCAAAGATGCATGTATGTATGATAGGAATCCTACAATAGTTCCAATGGATACCAATATTAAATTCTAGAAAGGTGACGAAGAGGGAGAAATTGACACAACTGAATATCGAAGTTTTGTAGGAAGCTAAGATATCTTCTTCAAACAAGGCCTAATGTTGCATATGTAGTAGGTATTACTAGTCACTATATATATTCAATTCCCCAAAAAATCGTGTATGGTAGCCATAAAGTAGATACTACAGTATGTAAGAGGAACTGTTGTGTATGGAATTCATTATAGTCGTAATCAACTAGTAAAGCTAGTCGGATATAGTGATAGCAATCATAATATCGAACAAGATGATTGAAGAAGTACCACATGATAGTTTTTTACTTTGGTGAGTCACTTATTATATGGTGTTCATAGAAACAAGAGACTGTGGCATTATCACCTTATGAAGTTGAGTACATGGTCATGTCTGCAACAAGTTTTCAAGAAGTTTAGTTATAAGACCTTCTTGACGAAATAATTAATCGCAAGTACAAGAAATGGTGATTAAAGTAGGCAACACATATGCAATCACGTTGGTCAAAACTCCAGTCTTTTATGATTGAAGTAAGTATATCAAATCTCGTTTTCATTACATATGCAAAAGAGTTGAATTAAAAGAAGTTACAATGGAGCATATTAGCAGGAAAGAGAAACAAGCTTAAATTTCAACAAAAGCACTTGCAACGATAAAATTTGTTGAAATGCATAAGCTTCTAGGTATGAAAGATCTCTCAATTTCCATTTGAAAATTAGAGGGTGAATGTTGGCTAATTTCCAATAATACCATTCCTTACATGATGAGGTATAGGAGGGTCGATCGTTCTACAAGAATGAATCCTTGGAAGTTGCTTAGTGTTCAAGTCAATAGAGGTTTCTTATGGATCAAGCAACGATACCTCCATATGATAATTAGAGATCGAGTAAGACTATAAGTAGATTACTATATATAAATATCAAGATTAGGATATCGAATACGAGAGGTTTTAGCAATGAATGATTGTAACATAGTTTGAGCAATTCTCTATGCTATAATAAGAGCTTACCCTTAATCAATTGTGTTTTATTATTGTGTTTATCAATTTCTTTACAACAGTTTTGTAATTTTAATGTTATAAATATCATTAATATACAATCTCTAATATATGATGGCACTTGTAGATCCAACTAAACGCACACTTCTTGATTGGGAAAAGAGATACAAGATCATCAAAGGCATTGCGAAGGGACTTTTATACCTTCATGAAGATTCTCGTTTAAGGATAATTCACCGTGATATGAAAGCTAGTAATGTTTTGTTAGATGCAGAAATGATTCCTAAAATTGCGGATTTTGGGATGGCCAGACTGTTTAAACCAGAAGAAACTCAAGGTGACACTAGTCGAATTGTCGGAACCTAGTAAGTACACTTCATTCATATGAAATTAAATACACCATCTTTATGATTTTTTTTCCCTTCTGCTACAAACCTCATCAAAAAATAGGTGGTTTATTTTTTATGACTATAATGGGAAAATTAATTCTAACTTGGTCTCTTGGTTGCCCTTGTCAATAGGAATAAGTGGCTTAATTGCCACCTTTTTAGGAGCACACGATTGGTGCAGTTTAGTTTTTCAGTTTTGCTTTGTCCTTTATTTAAGTATTGTAGCTTTCTTTTTGTTTTAATCGAATTCAACAATAAAAAAAAGGTGGAATCTTTTCTGCACCTCTGTTACTTACTCAGTTTGGGTGTAACCTTTTATTGATCCAGACAAAGGGCCTAAACCATAACTTGGCATCAGATCTTTCCGATTTATGCCAAAATACATTAGATACAATAACATGATAGGTTCTAGCTAGCAGGTCAGAAAAGATAACGGTGGAGTGTCATTCTAGTGCCAGTGCTGACTTCAACAAACTATACCACAAGGGCAAACAAGAGGGAGGCCATTATGGATGCTCAAGATATTTGGGAATCCATAGAACTAACAGTTGGAGTGTGATTGAGGAAGAGAAGAAGAATAAGATGGCATGTGCCTACATCTTCCAAGCAATAACAGAGGATATTATCATGCATGTATCCAAGAAGTAAACTACAAAAGAAGTGTAGGAATCATTAAGTATTCGGTACCTGGGTGCAAATCGAGTGCAAAAGGAGAGATTAAACACACTCAAAAGTGAGGTTGATGCACTGAAGATGAAAGTAGGAGATTCCATAGAAGAATTTGTAGGAAAGTTGAGTTGGATAAACTTGAAATACATCATCCTTGGTGCAACAATAGAAGATAGTACTTTGGTGAGGAAACTACTTGATTCTTTCCCTGAAAAGTATCTAGAATTTGTGGTCTTGATTGAACAATATTTAGATTTGGATACATCAGATTTCGATACGATTTCATTTGAAGAAGCTATAGGAAGACTCAAAGCTTATGAGGATCGGTTGAAAGTTTTTAGTGAAAACACTAATGTTGAACTGGTTTTGTTGCTCACTTGATCTGAATGGAAAATGGGTCAAAAATCAAATAAAGCCTCTGCTGTTCGGTTGGAAGAGGTCGTGGCTCATCTCATAGTGAGTGGGAGGTCGATGAGGCTACTATAAAAGAAGAGGCTCAAGGTGTAGAAGAGGTTGAGGAAATCACTAACCATCACAAGATATAAACAATAGTCAAGGAAAGGGAAGAGATAAGAGTCACATAAAGCGCTTCAACTGTCACTTGTTTGGGCATTTTGCATCAGAGTGCCCAAATCCCAAGAGGAAGGGAGCCGATGTTAATCTCACACAGGTACATGAAGTGGAGCATGATCTTTTGTTAACTGTATGGGGTGAAGATATAGATGACTGGGTATTGCTCAATAAATATAAAGTTTTCCCAGCAACAAAAGGAAATTAGAAGGATAGATGGTACTTGGATAATGGTGCAAGCAATAACATGACGGGGGTGTGAGATTACTTTGCAGAACTTAATCAAAGAGTAATAGGACATGTGCGATTTAGGGACAGGTCTACAATTCAGATCAAAGGAAGAGGTATATTCTCTTGGAATATAAAAATGAAGAGTAACAACTCATCTATGAAGAATATTACATCCTAGATTTTCAAGGTAATATACTTAGCCTAGGATAGATGACAGAAGTGGGATACAAGATCAAGATGCTTCATGAATTTTTAAGGGTCCATGATGCAGGAAACCAGTTAAAAATGAAGGTATAACGTTTAAAGAATAGGTTGTATAATAGCTTTGCATACAACACAATCTGTGTGTCTCAGTGCGATCCTAGGTGATACTGCGTGGCTATGTCATGCAAGATTAGGTCACATGAACTTCCTTCATCAAGTCTATGGTTGAAAAGGATCTAGTACGGAGAGTGACAAAAATTCACCATCCGACATAGATTTGTGAAGGATGTCTAGTTGCCAAATAGACTCGATATCCGTTACCAAAAGAAGCATAGTGGCGAGCTAGTTCTCCACTTGAACTGGTACATGCACACTTGTATGGTCCTATAACACCCCAAGCACGAGCAGGCAACTGATACTTCCTTCTAATTATAGACATCTATAGTAGGTACATGTGGGTGTTGATGATCAAAACCAAAAATGAAGCCTTCTATGCCTTCAAGAGATTCTAGACGTTGGTCAAAAGTGAAGGGCAAAACAAGCTGAAAACACTATGTACAGACCGAGGAGGTGAATTCACGTCCAATGAATTCATTGGTTTTTTTAGAAAGGAAGGAATTAAGAGACAACTGGCAACACCCTACTCCCCACAACATAACGGAGTAGTAGAACATAGAAATCAAACATTCCTTGAAGCCACAAGATCTTTATTGAAGGCCATGAATGTCCCTAAAACATTAGAGGTAGATGCTATTCGCCATGATGTATAAAATCTCAATCGAGTCCCAATAAGAGGTGTAAAAGATATGACCCCATATGATGGTTTACAAGGGAATAAACCAACTCTGTAGCATTTTAAGGTGTTTGGTTGCGTTGCTCACACAAAGATACCAACGAACAAACTCCTAAATTTGCGTGATAAAAGTGAAAGAATGGTGTGTTTGGGAAACAAAGAAGGAAGCAAGGCTTTCCAACTATATTTCCTTAAATGAAATAGAATATATGTAGCAAGAGATGTGTTATTCAAAGAAAAAAGACAATGGGATTGGGCTAAGGTCCATTATGAAGGCCCAATTCTAAGAAATGTTTGGGTTCAAATTTCCGAGTGAAGGAATAGCCCAAAATAGGATGGAGGAATTCGATCTAGTATTAGGAGAAAGTGGAAGCCCTATTTTGCCATCCAGTGGAGATCAGTCATCATCGACACCGTATGATTAATTGCCTCTCGTGAGTTAAATCCCAATTAGCCCTGGAGACTCTATGACACCATCATTAGAAGAACTCATAGACCAAACACCATACGACGATACACTTGTTTGAGGATTTTGTTCCTTGACAGATATCTACAATGAAACACAGGAGCTGGAAGACGATTTAGAAATTCTGATGTATGTAGTTAAAGAACCCACTACCTATGAAGAAGCTTAAACTGATAAGGATTGGAGAAATTTAATGGAACAAGAGACGAAATTGGTTGAAAACAACAATACATGGAAGTTAACTCACCTTCCAAAAAGGCAAAAGGCAATAGCATTGAAGCGGGTATTCAAATCGAAGAAGAATACAGAAGGGAGAGTCACAAAATAGAAAGCAATAATTGTTGCAATGGCTATGTACAACAAAAGGTTGTCGATTTTGATGAGGCCTTTGCACCGATGGCTCGTTCGGAAAAAATTTGCATGTTATTGGCATTGGCAGCAAGTGAAGGGTGGAAAGTCCATCACTTGGATGTAAAATCCGTGTTCTTGAGTGGAATCCTATAGGAAGAGGTGTATGTTACCCAACCAACAGGTTTTGACATTGCAAGAATATAAAACATGGTCTACAAGCTTAACAAGGCACTATATGGTTTGCGTTAAGCTCTAAGAGCTTGGAATGAACGACTTGACAAGACCTTGAAAGAGATGGGATTTCAAAGACGCCCATAGGAATATGTCGTATACAAGGTCTAGAAGTCAAACAACACCTTGATTGTTGGTGTTTATGTCGACAAATTAATCGTGATAAGTACAAGTAAGGAGTTGGTGGTTGAGTTCAAAAGGCGGATGCTAAAGATCTTTGACATGAGTGATTTGGGAACTTTATCCTCCTACCTAGGTATAGAAGTCCAACAAGACAAACAGGGTATAGCAATTAGCCAAACCGGGTATGCTAAGAACATATTACAAATAGTCGGTATGGGAGATTGTAACCTATCGAAATACCCAATGGAACCAAGGCTCACATTAACGCAAGATGAAGATGTAGTACCAGTCAATGCCACCGACTACTGATGCCTCATTGGTAGCCTTCGTTACCTCATTCACTCAAGACCGGATTTGAGCTACTCAGTTGGAGTAGTAAGCAGATACATGGAGTGACCAATGGAGAGTCATCTCAAAGCAGACAAACATATTTTAAGGTACATAAAGGGGACGACTAACTTTGTTTTAATGTACAATAAAAGTGGTGATAGAAAGCTTATTGGATTCAACGGTAGTAGTTATGGAATGGATATTGATGGTAGAAAGGGTACAACAAGAATGCTTTTCTATCTATCTGGAAATCCAATCACATGGTCGTCTAAAAAACAACACAATGTGGCTCTATCTTCTTGCGAGGCAAAATTTATGGCAGTAAATACGACAACATGCCAAGCACTTTGGCTAAGGAGTCTTCTAAAAGAATTGACAGTTTAGAAAGAAGAATGTGTCAGGATGTATGTAGACAACAAACCAGCTATAGCTCTTATGCAGAACCTGTTTTTTCATGGGAGGAGCAAAAACAGTGACAAATTCTATCGGAAATGTGTGTGTGTGTGCGTGCATGCGTGCGTGTGTGTGTCACAAATTCTATCAGAAATCCATCACAAACAATTAACTAAAGGCTTTTGCCAACAGAAAAATTCCAATGAAATATGTCTGTAAATCCATTTGCGATGGGTTCTGAAAAAATTAGGTTTTTTCTTCTAGTAACGTATGCACATACTAATTTTTTTTCTCATTCACTGTTCTCTTTTATATAGCGGTTACATGGCACCTGAATATGCCATGCATGGGCAATTCTCAGTGAAGTCGGATGTGTTTAGTTTTGGAGTATTAGTACTCGAGATGGTAACAGGTCAAAAAAACCAATGCTTTCGGAGTGGAGATAACGTTGAAGATCTTATGAGCTTTGTAAGTATCCACCTTTTCACAACATAACTAAAAATTAAAATATTTAGAAGTGTATAAATTTTTTTTAATAAAAGAGATACAAAACATTACACTTATTTTTTATGAATTGTTAGTTTTTCGAAAGAATTTTTTACATTGTTATTTTTAGAATTGCGAAGTTGTACAAATCATAATGTTAACAACTTTTTGGATGTGTTTTAGGCATGGAAAAGTTGGCGAAATGGGACGGTGGCAGATATAATAGATGCTACATTGAAAACAGGATCAGGTTCATTACGTGACGTCATTAGAAGTATACACATTGGGTTATTATGTGTCCAAGAAAATGTTATCGATAGGCCAACCATGGCTTCAGTTGTTCTTATGCTTAATAGCTTCTCTCTCACGCTTCCCCTACCATCAAAACCAGCTTTTTTCATGCATAGTACCATTGATCCTGAAATGCCACTTCTTAAGGAATTTAGTTCATCGAATTCAGGAAGTAGTGGTTTTGGAAAACCTCAAATATCAAAATCAAAATCAAGATCGTCTCAAGTTTCAGTAAATGATGTTTCAATATCCGAGATCATTCCTAGATAAGCTTTTACATTGCACTTGATATGGTTACATATATTTCTTATTTATTTCATTTTCATTAAGGCTACTATTTTGAACTTGCTAGTTTAAACCTGGATGTAATATATAGCATAAAAAATAATTTTTAATTTCCTTCTTCCTACTTCTTGGCTTTGACTAAGCCACCTATCATAGTATATAGAACACAACTCATAGACCTTTATTATTACACCCTTTCAATCTGATATCTCATAGTATATAGAACACAACTCAGTGAATCTGATATCTCATGTTTGGTTTTTGATTCCACCCTTTCAATCCCTATCATAGACCTTTATTATTACACCCACGACACCAACGGAACACACCGGGAGTGTAACAAAGTTCATGGATCACAAATAAATTGAATATATAGTACAAGTACAATGATAAACAAAACAACATATATAAGGTTTGAATACAAGGTTCTTAGAAGTGATAATAGATTGTAGTTTCCTTAAATAAGTAGGCAGATAACAAAAACTAGATAGCTAAATCGTTTGTAATCCACGGCAAATCTTCCATCTGAAAGCTTGTCTAATGATCCCCTGAGAATACATGTAAGTTTGAGGGTCAACACAAAGGTTGGTGAGTGTCATAGGTTTTCTGCATAACCGCAATATAATACATTTAAAAAGACTAAAAATATTTCCTTTGTGAGGAAACTATTTTTGGAAGAATGCTTGACAAAGATAGAAATATAAAACATGGTTGCTAGGTAATAAAAGTGTAGTCCAGTGTATAGTAATGGATTTGTACAGATAAACATATAAAATATAGTTTCTAGGTAATAAACATATAGTTAAGTTTATAGTAACGCAATGGTATGGATGGACATATAAATTATGGTTTCCAGGTGACAAACATCTAGTCAAATGTATAGTAACGAAACAGTATGGATAGACATATGAATTATGGTTTCTAGATAATGAAATCTAGTTAAGTTTATCGTATTGGAACTGTACGGATAACGGATAAAAAGACATACATATATACGGATAAAGTTATCTGCCAAGCTTGTACTTAGCACTTTAAATTCGGATAAACAAATGGTTGACAAGTATATTTGATAAGCATAAGTGTAACAATGTACAATACTTGGTTAAACAGTTCATAAAACTTTGAGTACAAGCACATAAACAAGCCTAAGATAAGAGTTCTATAACTCATATAAAAATATAAACTTATATATTTTTGTGTATGTATGAGATATATTGAAACTACCATGTTGATAACCGTCTATACAGTCAAGCACATTTGTAGTCGAAATATATATGTTATTTTTATTAGTTGTATTATCTTAACAATATTACATATGTAAATATTGATGTTTAAAACAATTTTTTTACATAACATGTAAGTGTTTAAACAATTAACTCTCAAATTGGTAAAGTGTTTACACAAAACAATGCTATTTCATGTGTATTTTGTATGATAAATATTACTTAGTACACATACTACCATATACAGATGAGGGCCAACCATGAAACACCGAGGCAGGATCATTTTGGAAATTAAGTTGTTCTAAAATCCAACAACTCATGCGACCCTTCAAACCAGATTCCCCATACCGTAAGTAGTAGCGTAGTAATTTTTTTTTTTTTTGTGATTTATTTTGCATAAAAATAGTGATGGTGTTTGTATAAACAAAGCATTTAGGAAATATATAATATATATTACAAGTAGTACATGTACTCCCCCCCCCCCCACCCCCAAAAAAAAAAAATGTAAAAGTGGGGTCGTAACACTCACCTCGATATGCGGTTAACTGGTTATTTTTAAGTATTAGATTATGAGAATTGTGGCGTGTTGTTGTGAATTTGAATTTCCGAGGTTAGCTTAGCCTTCATGAATGAACAGACTATAGAAGCCTTTGATGATGATGGAGGACACCCAAAGTGGTAGAAATTCAAAGGTGTAGATGTTCCGAGATGAAAAAGTCCCGAGGCTTGTTGAAATTCCGAGAAAGGAAAAATCCAAAGCTATAAAAGTTCTGAGATGGGTATAAAATCCGATGTCAAAAGCTCCAAAAGTGGTAGAAGTTCATAAGGTTGAAGGATCCGAAGTGGCAGGTTCCGAAGCTCAGCAGTGAATTTCGAAGGTGAGCAGTTCTGAAGCAGAAGATTCCATACCTCTGGATGGTTCCAAGTTTGAGTGGTTTCGAGGCTGAATGGTTCTGAGGCAGAAAAGGAAATTCTGAAATGGGCTTGATGTTCTTGGTTTTCTTCTTCTGTTTCGATCTGATTTCAACAAAGGTAGAGATGGGATGATGTTGGTGTTTAAAGGAGAGGTTAGAATTGTGGTGTTTGTTACTAAGAGAGATTCGGGAGAGAATTGCAAGACTTGAGAGAGATATGGAAGACTTGGGATATTGGAGAGAGAAAGAAGAAAGAGTGGTTTGGGAGAGGAAGAAGTGAGAGAGATTTAAGAGAGTAGGAAGAGAGAGTTGAGATAGTGATGGTTGAAGGAGGAGGTGACTTCTATTTATAGTAGAAGGAAACACCTTCTGGCCAAGAAGGCCGTTCTCTCTAAGTCAAATCAGGTACTATTCATGTACCTTTGCGATGGAGTGTAAGAAAAGAGAAAGAGTGAAGGGGGTAAGGCATGTGGGAAGAAAATCCATGGAAATTGGCTGATGATTTTCTTTTAAATCTCATGGGTCCCACCCAAGGGTTACACCCTCATTAATGGCTCAAAAGTACATATAGTCGGGTACGTCGTGATCCGGATGTTGAGAATATTTTTTGAGCATGACAATAGATTGGAATTGATTAAAGGGTTTCAGAAACTCAAACAGACTAATTTTTTAAGTTACGGAACTCCGGGAAATTGCGTTTGAAGTTTTGCGTCTAAACGACTCGTTGTATCCGATTTCGCGACTTTGGAAATATTTTACTAAAAATATTTTGAGTATGAAATTAAATAATATACTATAGTCTAATTCCAAAAATGCTCTCAGAAATCTTGTCGGCAATGTGTAAGTACCTCAATGGTGTGAAATAGTTTACTTAGAACAGGTAAAATTAATATCATATCGGTTTGGTTTCTTAAGACTGTTGTATCTTTTGCATATGAACTCTGTTTTGGGCGTTCTTTCTATTATTGGACTCAAGGAAACACGTACTATGAAACTAGAATAAATGCTTCGCTTAAAATGACTTTTTACGAAAATTCTGTTTTTCAGACGTATTCCTAAGGTTACAGTTTGTGCGGTTTGATTCCTTGTACATTTGAAAGTATGATATCATTAGGTATCGTATAATAGTTAAAATGGACATATTTGTTTTACTTAAGATACAAAACAACTTAATAAGTCAAGTTACAATGAGATTCATCGTTAAATGGTCGGTTATAATTTTTGCCCTAAATTTTGGGATGTCACACATATGGTACCCTTATAACATGGAAGAACGAAACTCCAATATACATGTATGTGAATGAGTCTACATGGAATATATGGTGCAAATTCCCTTTATCAGATGAAAAAATATATCAATTTCCAACAAAGCTTCTTCATTTTGCATTCCAATATTTGAGTTGGATTATCTATGAGTTAGATAGCATCATCACTAGCCTCACCTCATAGATATTTCCTCAAATAGAACATGTAGAATGTGCTATGTATCTCACACAACTTTAGTGGATACACCAAGATGTATTGCTCACGTGATCCAGCTCATTCCAATACATGTGAGGGTCCCTTTAATGAGGGACTCAAATTACCTTATCTTCCAAAAAAAACTTAGTCATTTTCATTATGAAACTTTACATAGCACCAAGTTCCTTACCTTAAATTCTTGGGATCATCTTTTTAACTTCTTCTTTTTCCGCTTCTAGGCATCATGTATTCACTTTTGGATCATTCTCACCTTATTAGTTGTCTCCAAAACAATTTGTGGTCATGCATGCTATCTCTTAACAAATTTTTATCAAAACATGTCATAGATTTCCTCTAATATAATGCCTCATATAGTTCCATATCAATGCTAGAATGGTAGTTATTGTTTCCAGTAAACTTGACAATTGTTAAGTGCTTCTCAAAAACACTAGTGAAATCAATCACCCAAAATTGTAACATAGTCTTGAGTGCTTAGATATTCCTCTTGCTATATTGGGTGATCTATTGGTGCATAATATCTTGAAGACTAAACTTATGCATCAGGTAAAATATATAGTCTGAAGAGCTCCCCTTGGGTGGTATATCCTATCAAAATGCATTTTGCATTTTTCCCACTCCTCGTCACCAAAATTACCCATTTAGGGCCTCAATTTTATTTTACCCTGTAATGCCCGCAAATTTAGGCTAGTCAATTAAGATATAATAAGCATTAAAAAATGAATTTTTGATAGAAGATTACTTATAATAAATAATCTTAACCAAAGATATAGTTTTCACAAGGATTTTGTACCTATAAAGAACAAAGAAATCCGACTTTGTATAAAGAAGTTACACTTCTTTGAAGTTTCACGATTAAATCAGCACGTATCTACATATTGTAAAAAGTTAATGTTTGATAAATTTCTGTTTAGCCTAAGTAATCTAAAAGAAAGTCATAGTAGTCATTAAATTGAGAGTGTGCATATTGAGATCATCCAAAACTGATTTTTTATGAGGAAACTATGATTTTTCTAAGTTTCAGCGCAACAGTGTTAGTACAAAAATCTAATTTTAGAGCGGTCGATTTTTAGCCAAAGCAATCTTAACCAGAGTCGAGGATCTCATTAATAATATTCCAACAATATAATGAAAATCGAGAACATACTTCGTATGAAAAATATATGAATTTGAAATGGAGATTAGCAGTCTAAGCCTTCTAAAAATAATAAATAAAAAATAAATTGAGAATTAGCCGATAGAGTATAAATGAAACTTGTAGATCCCGTTGATAGCTACGTGTGGATATAAAGAACATCAAAAAAGGAGTTCGTATGAAAAATCTAGGTATTTTTGAAGTTTCCAGAGTACACCTCGCTAAAAAAGGTGCGAGGTGCACACTTGTAGAAGGTGAGGCATGGACCGTCACCTTTTTGAGACGTGTCAGCACCAGTTGCATCCTTGCTATGTAGGGCATAGTTTTGGGTTTTCTATGCATCAAATACACTTTAAACTCTAGAAATGGTCAATCCCCAGCCACAATCCTACCAGTTCCTGATGAATGTGGACGCCCATTCCCCATTGAAGATACCAATTTGGAGATACGTAACAACTACGACCCATATGGTTGT